GAAATAGTAACACACTAAACAATAATGAGGGTATATACAAGAAGTACCAGTACAGAGTCACTGTGCAGGGGTACGAGGTAGTAATGAGGCTATATACAAGGAGTACCAGTACTGAGTAAATGTGCAGGGGTACGAGGTAGTAATGAGGTTATATACAAGGAGTACCAGTACTCAGTCACTGTGCAGAGGTACGAGGTCGTAATGAGGCTATATACAAGGAGTACCAGTACTGAGTCAATGTGCAGGGGTACGAGGTAGTAATGAGGTTATATACAAGGAGTACCAGTACTGAGTCACTGTGCAGGGGTACGAGGTCGTAATGAGGCTATATACAAGGAGTACCAGTACTGAGTCAATGTGCAGGGGTACGAGGTAGTAATGAGGCTATATACAAGGAGAACCAGTACTGAGTCAATGTGCAGGGGTACGAGGTAGTACTGGTCCTCCTGGTATATAGCCTCATTACTACCTCGTACCCTTGCACATTGACTTAGTACTGGTCCTCCTGGTATATAGCCTCATTACTAAGTCAATGTGCAAGGGTACGAGGTAGTAATAAAGCTATATACAAGGAGTACCAGTACTAAGTCAATGTGCAGGGGTACGAGGTAGTAATGAGGCTATATACAAGGAGTACCAGTACTAAGTCAATGTGCAGGGGTACGAGGTAGTAATGAGGCTATATACAAGGAGTACCAGTACTAAGTCAATGTGCATGGGTATGAGGTAGTAATGAGGCTATATACAAGGAGTACCAGTACTAAGTCAATGTGCAGGGGTACGAGGTAGTAATGAGGCTATATACAAGGAGTACCAGTACTAAGTCAATGTGCATGGGTACGAGGTAGTAATGAGGCTATATACAAGGAGTACCAGTACTAAGTCAATGTGCAGGGGTACGAGGTAGTAATGAGGCTATATACAAGGAGTACCAGTACTAAGTCAATGTGCAGGGGTACGAGGTAGTAATGAGGCTATATACAAGGAGTACCAGTACTAAGTCAATGTGCAGGGGTACGAGGTAGTAATGAGGCTATATACAAGGAGTACCAGTACTAAGTCAATGTGCAGGGGTACGAGGTAGTAATGAGGCTATATACAAGGAGTACCAGTACTAAGTCAATGTGCAGGGGTACGAGGTAGTAATGAGGCTATATACAAGGAGTACCAGTACTAAGTCAATGTGCATGGGTACGAGGTAGTAATGAGGCTATATACAAGGAGTACCAGTACTAAGTCAATGTGCATGGGTACGAGGTAATTGAGGTATTATGTACATGTAGGTAGGGGTAAAAGTGGCTAGGCAATCAGGGTAGATAAATAACAGAGTAGCAGCTGTGTGTGTGTGTGTGTGTGTGTGTGTGTGTGTGTGTGTGTGTGTGTGTGTGTGTGTGTGTGTGTGTGTGTGTGTGTGTGTGTGTGTGTGTGTGTGTGTGTGTGTGTGTGTGTGTGTGTGTGAACGTATATAGTGTGTGTGTGTGTGTTGGAGTGTCAGTGTAGTAAGAGTGAGTGTGCATAGACCCAGTGCAGTAAATCATAAAGGGGTCAAGGTAAATCGTCTGGTAGCGATTTGATTAACTGTTCAGCAGTCTTATTGCTTGGGGGTAGAAGCTGTTCAGGGTCTTGTTGCTTCCAGACTTGGTGCATCGGTACCGCTTGCCGTGCGGTAGCAGAGAGAACAGTCTATGACTTGGGTGGCTGGAGTCTTTTACCCTTTTTTGGACTCTCTTCTGACACTGCCTGGTTTAGAGGTCCTGGATGGCAGGAAGCTTGGCCCCTGATGTAGTGGGCCGTATGCACTACCCTCTGTAGCGCCTTGCGGTTGGATGCCAAGCAGTTGCCATACCAAGCGGTGATGCAGCCAGTCAAGATGCTCTCAATGGTGCAGCTGTGTAACTTTTTGAGGATCTGAGGGCCCATGCCAAATCTTTTCAGCCTCCTGAGGGGGAAGAGGCGCTGTCGTACACTCTTCATGACTGTGTTGGTGTGTTTGGACCATGAAAGGTCCATTGGAAAGCCTCCCTGGTATTTGTGGTTGAATCTGTGTTTGAAATTCACTGCTCAACTGAGGGACCTTACAGATAATTGTATGTGTGGTGTGGGGTACAGAGAGGAGGTAATCATTCAAAAATCATGTTAAACACTATTATTGCACACAGAGTGAGTCCATACAACTTATTATGTGACTTGTTAAGCACATTTTTACTCCTTAACTTATTTAGGCTTGCCATAACAAAGGGGTTGAATACTTATTGACGCAAGACTTTCAGCTTTTCATTTTTTATTAATTTGTAAAAATGTCGAAAAACATAATTCCACTTTAACATTATGGAGTATAGTGTGAAGGCCAGTGACACAAAATCTCAATTTAATCCGTTCTGAATTCAGGCTGTAACACAACAAAATGTGGAATAAGTCATGGGGTGTGAATAGTTTCTGAAGGTAATGTAGCTTCTTACTTTCTCCTGTTCATCTTATTTCTTATTTTTATATCTCCTGTGTTTCTGTTCTACCTTGTTATTTTTAGTACTACATTGATATTGATTACTGCATTGTTGGGTTTAGAGCTAGCAAGAAAGGCATTTCACTGTACTTGTGCACGTGACATTGAAACTTGAAACACACACACTACTTCCCCTCGTCCTTCGACCACTGCTCACATGCTTTGGCTGACAGAGAGAGCTTTAACACTGACTACGGTTGCAAAGCTACCAGTAATTTACCAAAGTTACCGGAATCTTCGGTAATCTATGGCAATCTATGGTCATTTATACTTGAACTTTTAAAAAATGTATTAATGTATAGTATTCATTTTTATATGTGTCCATATTGTCCATGAGTTTCTAGTAGATAGACCATATGGTTCAATAGAAAATAGCCTAATTAATGAAAAAAGCATCTAATCAACAATGGCATTATTTTCAATTACCTCTGCAACTCTTCCAACTACTGACTTTTATCACAACTGCCATCAGTTTGGGAGCAAAACATTTACAACAAATAAATAAATAAAAGTGTGTAAAAAAAATATATGAAGGATATTTCATGCTGAAACCCTCATATTAAACACCAATGGTATTCACTAAGTTGATGGTTCATATTTAGGATGTTGTTTTACAGCTGCTTATTTGATTATTTTCTATATTTGACATGTGATAAGGCCACACAGAGGGCCAGAGATAATAACAGACAACTGTGATAATAATAAAATAAAGAAATCCTTGAAAGTTCTGGTAGTTTACTGGTAAAGTTTCCAGTAATATACCCTCCCTTTGCCACCATAACACACACACATAAGCATTTTACTGTCACCCGAAGATGGCATGGCCACATCCTTCACACAGTAAACACACACTGTGGAAAACTCTCTGGCCTGCATGGTCTGATCCACAGATGATCATCCTCCTTACTGGGTCTGATATTCACCAGACAATCAGGCTGAACAGATACCAGTTGAAATTCGACTGGGTGGGACACATAATCACTCCTAACAGACTGACTGGATTGGCTCTGGGCTCTGCCTTAGATGACCCTCTTGTGTTCTGGAATGGAATGCCTGTCTGACTAGATTCTTAGAACCCTCCATGAGAGAGATCTGATAAGGGCGATGTTGCAGCGCGCACACACACACACACACTAACACACACACACACACACAGAACACACACACACAACAGAACACACACACACACACACACACACACACAACACACACACCACACACACACAAACAGAACACACACACAACACACACACACCACCACACACACACACACATACACACACACACACACACACACAGAACAGACACACACACACACACAGAACAGATACACACACACACACACACACACAGAACAGAACACAACACACACACACAGAACACACAGACACAACACACACACTGCACATACACACAACACACATCACACACAGACAAAACAACACTCAATGTTGCTACTCAAACAACACATTACAGTTCCTGACAGATACATTAGAAGTTAAACACAACACTGTCCTACACACCCTCATTGCACCATGTCAGCCCCTGTCATGATGCCTCTGTACAACCCAGCCGTACCATGATCCAGCCCCTGTACCATGATCAGCCCTTTACCATGATCCAGCCCCTGTACCATGATCAGCCCTGTACCTGATCCACCCCTGTACATGATCCCAGCCCCTGTACCATGATCCCAGCCCCTGTACCATGATGCCAGCCCCTGTACCATGATGGCAGCCCCTTCACCATGATCCCAGCCCTGCACCCAATGATCCCCATCTCCTGTACCATGATCCCAGCCCCTGTACCATGATCCCAGCCCCTGTACCATGATGCCAGCCCCTGTACCATGATGCCAGCCCCTGTACCATGATGCCAGCCCTGTACCATGATGCCAGCCCCTGTACCATGATCCCAGCCCCTGTACCATGATCCCAGCCCCTGTACCATGATCCCAGCCCCTGTACCATGATGCCAGCCCCTGTACCATGATGCCAGCCCCTGTACCATGATGCCAGCCCCTTTACCATGATCCCAGCCTTTTTAATCACACCAACCCTGTTTGTTTCTAGCTCTCTACTTTGCTTTTATGCTCTTTTTAAAATACATTTTGACTTGAACTTGACTTCCTCCTCAGATCATGGGGGACGCGGTCGGCTGGGGCTTCGTGGTGCGAGGTAGTAAGCCCTGCCACATCCAGGCTGTCGACCCCAGTGGCCCCGCAGCTGCAGCTGGGATGAAGGTATGTAACACAAACACTCACACACATACCATCACACACACCACGGCACATGCACTCACGCACGCACACACACCACACTCCACTGCCAGCTGGGAGGAGAGAGCATTGACCTAAACATGTTTCTCCCATGTGCTATGTTTCTCCTATGTGCTATGTTTCTTCCATGTGCTATGTTTCTTCCATGTGCTATGTTTCTTCCATGTGCTATGTTTCTCCTATGTGCTATGTTTCTCCTATGTGCTATGTTTCTCCTATATGCTATGTTTCTTCCATGTGCTATGTTTCTCCTATGTGCTATGTTTCTCCCATGTGCTATGTTTCTCCTATATGCTATGTTTCTTCCATGTGCTATGTTTCTCCTATGTGCTATGTTTCTCCTATGTGCTATGTTTCTCCCATGTGCTATGTTTCTCCTATGTGCTATGTTTCTTCCATGTGCTATGTTTCTCCCATGTGCTATGTTTCTTCTATGTGCTATGTTTCTCCTATGTGCTATGTTTCTTCCATGTGCTATGTTTCTTCCATGTGCTATGTTTCTCCTATGTGCTATGTTTCTTCCATGTGCTATGTTTCTCCCATGTGCTATGTTTCTTCTATGTGCTATGTTTCTCCCATGTGCTATGTTTCTCCCATGTGCTATGTTTCTCCTATGTGCTATGTTTCTTCCATGTGCTATGTTTCTTCCATGTGCTATGTTTCCCCTATGTGCTATGTTTCTCCTATGTGCTATGTTTCTCCCTCCTCTCCCCCCTCCCCTCCCTATATCCTCCTCTCCTCTAATTCTAGAGCAGAGCTGGCTCCATTACATAGAAATCAAGCTGATGCAGTAATAACGGATCTGTGCAGCCAGGGGATGTGTCCCAAATGGCACCCTATTCCCTATATATATAGTGCACTATGGGCCCTGGTGAAAAGTAGTGCACTACATAGGGAATATGGTGTCATTTTGGACGCAGTCAGTCAGTTACGCAACAGTAAATGCTGTTCTCTCTCTGAACGTGGTTGTATATAAGTAATGTTGGTCAGACAGTCTGAAGCCTTGTGTTTACTGCCTGCCTTTCCTCTGTAGTAAAACAGGCTCTGACTGAAGCCTTGTTTACTGCCTGCCTTTCCTCTGTAGTAAAACAGGCTCTGACTCTCACATTGATCACATGCTGCTGCCTTATAACAGTGGCTATCCACTCGGTATGGCACTAAAAGTGACCCATAAACTCTCATTCTGTGGTGACCTTTGGGAGGAGATAATGACAGAGAGAGTTGACTCACTGCTTCCAAATGTTAGTCTAACGTTGCCAGAAGGGCAGTTTATAATGTTCGTCTAACGTTGCCAGAGCATCAGTTTATAATGTTGGTCTAACAGGAGGAGTCAGTAGAGGTCTGTTGACTCAGACCACAACACAACAGGAGTCAGTAGAGGTCTGTTGAGACTCAGACCACAACACATTTACATTTTAGTCATTTAGCAGACGCTCTTATCCAGAGCGACTTACAGTTAGTGAGTGCATACATGATTATCATTTTTTTCATACTGGCCCCCCGTGGGAAACGAACCCACAACCCTGGCGTTGTAAACGCCATGCTCTACCAACTGAGCTACATCCCTGCCGGCCATTCCCTCCCCTACCCTGGACGACGCTGGGCCAATTGTGCGCCGCCCCATGGGTGTCCCGGTCACTGCCGGCTACGACAGAGCCTGGATTCGAACCAGGATCTCTAGTGGCACAGCTAGCACTGCGATGCAGTGCCTTTAGACCACTGCGCCACTCGGGAGGTCACAGAGCAGCAGTTTATAATGTTGGTCTAACAGGAGGAGTCAGTAGAGGTCTGTTGACTCAGACCACAACACAACAGGAGTCAGTAGAGGTCTGTTGAGACTCATAGAGACATTTAGCTAAACAGATTCAGCAGGTACACGATGAACATACATTTAAAAGCAGAAGTTTCATGCTGTAAGCCACCTGGAGAAACATATAAACTGTATGATACCTTAGTCATAGTCCAAGTATAGTAACATGTAGAGTACCGCTGAATTCATCTGCTTGAGTGAATATAACCGCAGTGGTTACACAGAACAATGACTTATACCCTACAGTTTAACATGGGTCCTTCTCTACAAATTCTCTGCAGCCTAAGATCCAGTAAATCATCATGAAAATGATCGGAGAGGTTGAGGGTAGAGGAAGTTCAGGAGTAAAAACTAACAAAATAGAATTATTGTAAAATTGACTGTGTCCATAAAATGTATATAGTATGTATAAGCTGGAAGTAGAGGCCTAAGCATTGTTGTTCACTAGTTTACTCCAATTAGGGAAGGGGTGGTGAGGTTGGAAAGTAATAAAGATAAATATATTTTTTTAAAGGATATGTATATGTGTATGTACAGTGGGGAGAACAAGTATTTGATACACTGCCGATTTTGCAGGTTTTCCTACTTACAAAGCATGTAGAGGTCTGTAATTCTTATCATATGTACACTTCAACTGTGAGAGACGGAATCTAAAACAAAAATCCAGAAAATCACATTGTATGATTTTTAAGTAATTCATTTGCATTTTATTGCATGACATAAGTATTTGATACATCAGAAAAGCATAACTTAATATTTGGTACAGAAACCTTTTTTTGCAATTACAGAGATCATAAGTTTCCTGTAGGTCTTGACCAAGTTTGCACACACTGCAGCAGGGATTTTGGCCCACTCCTCCATACAGACCTTCTCCAGATCCTTCAGGTTTCGGGGCTGTCGCTGGGCAATAAGGACTTTCAGCTCCCTCCAAAGATTTTCTATTGGGTTCAGGTCTGGAGACTTGGCTAGGCCACTCCAGGACCTTGAGATGCTTCTTATGGAGCCACTCCTTAGTTGCCCTGGCTGTGTGTTTCGGGTCGTTGTCATGCTGGAAGACCCAGCCACGACCCATCTTCAATGCTCTTACTGAGGGAAGGAGGTTGTTGGTCAAGATCTTGCGATCCATGGCCCCATCCATCCTCCCCTCAATACGGTGCAGTCGTCCTGTCCCCTTTGCAGAAAAGCATCCCCAAAGAATGCTGTTTCCACCTCCATGCTTCACGGTTGGGATGGTGTTCTTGGGGTTGTACTCATCCTTCTTCTTCCTCCAAACACGGCGAGTGGAGTTTAGACCAAAAAGCTATATTTTTGTCTCATCAGACCACATGACCTTCTCCCATTCCTCCTCTGGATCATCCAGATGGTCATTGGCAAACTTCAGACGGGCCTGGACATGAGCTGGCTTGAGCAGGGGGACCTTGCGTGCGCTGCAGGATTTTAATGCATGACGGCGTAGTGTGTTACTAATGGTTTTCTTTGAGACTGTGGTCCCAGCTCTCTTCAGGTCATTGACCAGGTCTTGCCGTGTAGTTCTGGGCTGATCCCTCACCTTCCTCATGATCATTGATGCCCCACAAGGTGAGATCTTGCATGGAGCCCCAGACCGAGGGTGATTGACCATCATCTTGAACTTATTCCATTTTCTAATAATTGCACCAACAGTTGTTGCCTTCTCACCAAGCTGCTTGCCTATTGTCCTGTAGCACATCCCAGCCTTGTGCAGGTCTAGAATTTAATCCCTGATGTCCTTACACAGGTCTCTGGTCTTGGCCATTGTGGAGCGGTTGGAGTCTGTTTGATTGAGTGTGTGGACAGGTGTCTTTTATACAGGTAACGTGTTCAAACAGGTGCAGTTAATACAGGTAATGAGTGGAGAACAGGAGGGCTTCTTAAAGAAAAACTAACAGGTCTGTGAGAGCCGGAATTCTTACTGGTTGGTAGGTGATCAAATACTTATGTCATGCAATAAAATGCAAATTAATTACTTAAAAATCATACAATGTGATTTTCTGGATTTTTGTTTTAGATTGTGTCTCTCACAGTTGAATTGTACATATGATAAAAATTACAGACCTCTACATGCTTTGTAAGTAGGAAAACCTGCAGTGTATCAAATACTTGTTCTCCCCACTGTATATGGATGTGTATGTGTATATATATGTATGTATGTATGTATGTGTATCTATATATATATATATATGCGAGATAAAAAACATGGGGGATTGGAAGTGAAGCAGACAATTACATTGATGGAAGTTACAATCTATCTGCAATATTAAAGCTGATCTACCCCCTAAAAAAAATATAAAAAAATATAAGAATACAAATTTTAAAAAAATATCCAGTAACTCATTCATTTCAGCCACAGCCTGGCCATGAAACAGTTAACAAACATTTTTCTTGGAAATCCTCAAGTGCCTTTTCTAGGAGTATTAACTCCCGAGTGACTGGGGCCCTGGGTAACGGTTGACCCGTTGCCAAGACAAATAGGGGATTGTGTTTTGATGTAATTGCTGCGACGGGCTGCTCTGGAATTCCTTCACTGCATGAAATAAGGGTAAAGTTGACTCAATGGCCTACCATGTGGCAGCCATATAACCATGTTGCAAAACAGTCCTAAAACATGTTTGTTTTTGCCAAGACACTGACTGACTGTTGCAATAATGAGTCAGCAATCAAAATAAGAAAGGTGTGTTTCTGTTTATCCATAACAGAGCCAACTCTCCTCTCCTCCTCAAGATCTGTCAGTTTGTGGTTGAGATCAACGGGCTGACGCTTGTTCCCCTCCTTTCTCTGTGTTTCTCCCATAGAGAGCTAACTCTCCTCTCCCTTTCTCTGTGTTTCTCCCATAGAGAGCTAACTCTCCTCTCCCTTTCTCTGTGTTTCTCCCATAGAGAGCTAACTCTCCTCTCTTTCTCTCTTTCCCTCCCTCTTTCTCTCCTCCTTTCTCTGTGTTTCTCCCATACAGAAATACATGTATAGACATGGCTAACTCCTCTGTCCCTCTCCCTCTCTAGGTGTGTCAGTTTGTGGTCTCGGTCAACGGGCTAAACGTGCTGTCTCTGGACTACAGGACAGTCAGTAACCTCATCCTGACCGGGCCCAGAACAGTTGTCATGGAAGTCATGGAGGAAGCAGATTACTGAGGAGGCAGGCTATCACGTGGCAGGGGGCGTGGCTGAGCAGAGTAGACCCAAGGCAGACCCTAAAGACATCATGGAGATAGAAGTGTCTTTATGGAACTCTATGAAAACTCTCTCTAGGGTTCTAACTCTATGAAAACTCTCTAGGGTTCTAACTCTATGAAAACTCTCTCTAGGGTTCTAACTCTATGAAAACTCTCTCTAGGGTTCTAACTCTATGAAAACTCTCTCTAGGGTTCTAACTCTATGAAAACTCTCTCTAGGGTTCTAACTCTATGAAAACTCTCTCTAGGGTTCTAACTCTATGAAAACTCTCTAGGGTTCTAACTCTATGAAAACTCTCTCTAGGGTTCTAACTCTATGAAAACTATCTCTAGGGTTCTAACTCTATGAAAACTCTCTCTAGGGCTCTAACTCTATGAAAACTCTCTCTAGGGCTCTAACTCTATGAAAATTATCTAGGGTTCTAACTCTATGAAAATTATCTAGGGTTCTAACTCTATGAAAACTCTCTAGGGTTCTAACTCTATGAAAACTCTCTAGGGTTCTAACTCTATGAAAACTATCTCTAGTGTTCTAACTCTATGAAAACTCTCTCTAGGGTTCTAACTCTATGAAAACTCTCTAGGGTTCTAACTCTATGAAAACTCTCTCTAGGGTTCTAACTCTATGAAAACTCTCTCTAGGGTTCTAACTCTATGAAAACTCTCTCTAGGGTTCTAACTCTATGAAAACTCTCTCTAGGGTTCTAACTCTATGAAAACTCTCTCTAGGGTTCTAACTCTATGAAAACTCTCTAGGGTTCTAACTCTATGAAAACTCTCTCTAGGGTTCTAACTCTATGAAAACTATCTAGGGTTCTAACTCTATGAAAACTCTCTAGGGTTCTAACTCTATGAAAACTCTCTCTAGGGTTCTAACTCTATGAAAACTCTCTAGGGTTCTAACTCTATGAAAACTCTCTCTATGGTTCTAACTCTATGAAAGGCTCATTCAAGCTCTGCCAGCCACCACCCGCTGTCTCTCTCCTATTGGACACCGCCACCCTCTGTATCTCTCCTATTGGACACTGCTGCCCTCTGATGGGCTCCAATAGAACTGCTAGGAGAGGAGAGAAGGACATTAGCTACTCTGTTAGATACACACGTCTAATCATTGTCCTCCTGTCTCACCTGTCTAGTTGATGTTGAGACATCAGATGGACCCTGATAACAGAGTGGACTGTTTCTCACAGTAAGGGTTGTAAAATGTTCTGTACTGTGCTCCATGATTAGGGGGCTGTGCCCTGCTATCCCCTTCTGGTTTGTCAGTGTCTCCTGTGGGCTGGACTGTGTGTTTCTTCACTTATTGATGGTACTATCTACCCATGTGTTAGGCTGTGTGGGGAGAGACAGATATGGACCGGGCTAGATCTGCCTGTCTCTCTCTATCCCAGGACGAGATGTGGTGAAGTTGAAGGCAGGCCTGTCTCTCTCTATCCCAGGACGAGATGTGGTGAAGTTGAAGGCAGGCCTGTCTCTCTCTATCCCAGGACGAGATGTGGTGAAGTTGAAGGCAGGCCTGTCTCTCTCTATCCCAGGACGAGATGTGGTGAAGTTGAAGGCAGGCCTGAAGGAGACCGACAGCATATCATCCAGGACAGGAGTGTGAAGCATTATCAAGCGACTGTTCAATCTGCTGCACCAAATGATAATGCAAACGATGTCAAACTAATCCATAGCTATTTGGGCGTGTGACAGAGATACCAACCTGGTTACACTGTGTAGTTGTGTATAGGTCACTCACTATACATTGTGGTAGTTGTGTGACGTTGGCCGTAGTTTAACCAAGCAAACATGGTTGTATAATGTTCATGTTTATGCAGGACTAATTGTTGTCAATGAAGTGTCTTTTCCCAGTACACTTAGGGCGAGTTTCCCGGACAACAAGTCCTGGACTAAAAAGCCAAATCGTTAGATAATCTCCATTGAAAGTGTTTTTTGGTCCAAGATTAGGCTTATTCTTTGATCGGGAAACCGTCCCTTGAAGACAAAGTAGGTAGCTAATAGCTAGTTAATGAGGTAACACTTTATTTGAATGTTCCATTATACTGTCTGTAGACCTGAATATCATGGTTATAAGCATGACATTAAGGATATTACTCAGTATGTAGACAAAAGCTTGTGCTACTAACAACTAACTTTACTCTGTCATGACACAACAAACTATTACTTATCAGGCCCGTTTCCCAGACATGCATTGAGCCTAGTCCAGGATGTGTCCGGGAAACCGCTCATAGTGATATAAATGGTGGTTTGCATAGTTTTCTAAGATTTATAATGTGTATTGACAGTGATAAGTCAGTTGTTAAAACATGGTTATGACTGTCTTGACTTGCTAGGCTATGCCATATCTATAACACTGGCATTGAGGCGTATGACCACACACACCTGTTACCATTAAGCTGTATGTTAATGTGGAAATCATATATCCATGAAAGTCCCTAATCTTTCAGAAGTGACATGTTCTATACTACCGGAGGTTCTATAATATATGGATATATTAACATATATTTAATGTAGATCTATGTATGGATTTAGGCTGACTAAGGCACTTAAATATGAAAATAACAGTTTGGATCAGTTTGTTTTCTAGTTAAAATGTCAGAAAAATGTGAATGTCGTTAAGAAGTCACTATACTGAACCGTCCTGCGACCTAAACGTATTAAGAATTATTAACCCATTTTATATGCCATCAGACCTTATCTACTTGTATTTAAGAAGAAAACGTTTTTATTTCGGTAACTAGCTGTGCATTTTATAGTAAAATAACTATGATCGCATAAGAAAACAATCTATGACAGTATTTAATAACCGTATGATGTTAACAGAATCATCTGTAGCTCGGTGTATCAGGGTCAACTGTTTTCTTATGATATCACTTCCTGGTCAGATAACGTAGCCTAGATTCGTTGTAAGATTTTAAAGAATAGCAGTACAAGCTGTATGTTCATGTTCACATGCTGTTGTTTACCATAATGTCAAGCCTCGGATCATAGGTTTGTTTGTTTATTTGGAAAACAACAACAGTCATTTTCTGACAAGTACGGATTCTATCTCTTTTTATAATGTGCTTAAATGTGTAAAGCAACGAAATGCATAATTCAAGAAACGATGTAAATGTATGTAATGCTTGCTTACAATCCAATTTCAGGACTGATACAATATCATTGGTTAGCTCGCACTAAGAACATTAGACATCAGTGATTTGGTGAATGGCTGCATTGCATTATGTTTTTACCCATTTCTACTCTTGGTTCTGTCATATAAGGAAAGGCTTGTGTTGTTTGGTAAGCAAGGACATACAGAAATGCAAATTACGATGAGTAATTTATACTTCAGCTGTTTTGGTAACACTTTACTGAAAGCGTCCAGGTAAAATGCATTATAACTTGTTATTAGCATGAGCCTTTATCATGTCTTATAAGGCTTATAAGATGCTTACAATGTATTATAACTGCATCATAATGCATTATACCTGTGTGCTTTGAACAGACAGACTTTAATGTGCCATGTTATAAGCTTGAAACATTTGCCTTAATAACTTTGATTTTGCTGCTAGTCTTCTTTACAGTTGGTGGTCATCTAATATTTGAATATCCTCTCTTATCCATAAAGGGTTCACTATGCTATCCTCTTCTTCCTGATCAGTCTAACTATATTCACCTTCTGCTGCTTATTTCATGGAGTGATCGTCTTCTTTTTCCTTGACAATCAGTGTTTTCTTGATACACAAGGTGTGCGTTCCAAATGGTAGTGCACTTGTTTTGACCAGACCCCAATGGGCCCTGGTCAAGAGTAGTGCACTATACAGGGAATAGGATGCCATTTGAGACTCAACCGAGATCTGAACAGCACATGGACCAACGGCGGTACAACTTACTCTCTGCCTCTCCTAGAAGGTTTTTACTAACGGTAATGAATCAATGACTTTTCAGTTATTATACAAATCAGTCAGCAGCTCATTTTATAGGGATTCATAATCTACAGATCATTATGTTCATTCATAATCTATGTAGATTAATGATCTAGATTGTACAGCCACTTCATGAGCCCAGAGTGTAAGGCTTTAATAGCAGTTAGTGTAGATACATTTATAAAATACATTGTGTGAATGAATGAATGTCAGGACAATGAAAATATATAAGCTCACGGATGGTACCACATCTGTGTTTTGCAATGCAGCTAAAGGCATACATTTCAAATGTAAAGTTCAAATGTGTTTAATAAACATACTGGTTTGGTTCAAAATATATCTACTTATTTATGGCGGCATACTTCCTCTTAAAGTTAGTTTGGTCAAATGAGCGAACTAATCATGTATTAATGAATGGTTAGTATATAGTCACAAACTATGGCCCAGTCCCAAATGGACCACTAGTCCTTATATCAGGGGTATTCAACTCTGACCCTACGAGGTCCTAAGACTGCTGCGTTTCTGTTCTACCTGATAATTAATATCACCCACCTGGTGTCCCAGGTCTAAATCAGTCCCTGATTAGAGGGGAACAATGGAGAAAAAAAAAATGCAGTGGATCTGGCTTTGGCTAATATAAGCAATAGGGTGAAACTTCCACCTAGCCTATCAGAGGGCAAGGTGGAGCTACTACCAGATTGGTTGCACCTGTCAAATCCTCTCAGATCTCCACAAGTGCGTCGGGTCATGGGGTCATCTTCTCTGGTCAGTCAAAGTTCCTGCAATGCCCCCTGGTTTTGAATGTGTCATGTACTGTATCACCAAAGGGGGGCGATGTTGCACTATATTTGGTCAATATTGGTACCCTCCTTACTCTCCACCGGGGCTGCCCAACCCTCTTCCTGGAGATCTACCGTCCTGTGGGTTTTCAGTCCAACCCTAATTTAACCCAACTGATTCTACTTATTAGCTGCTCAACTAGCTGAATCAGATATATTCTAAATGAGGTTTGGACTGAAAACCTACAGGACAGTAGATCTCCAGGAAG